ACCTTTCGCAGGCGATCGCAACGCAGTCTCCCGCGCCTGGCCAGAAGGCTCAGCCATAGGCAAGCTCAACATTGTCACCGCAGAGGGGAAAGAGCCGCGCCTAGTTTTGGACAGTTCTGTCTGCAATGCCAACCAAGCATGCACTGTGCCGGAGAAAGTGTCGCTCCCATCCAACTTAGACGTGCACCGCACTTTCAGCCATGAGGACAGGTTTGGGCAATGGATCGCACTCTCATGGGACTTTAAAGCCGTGCACAAATCCATTAAAGTCCATCCGAAGGAGCATGGATGCCTCCTGTTTGAGGTCGCAGGCAAACTGTACCACTACATTGTTTGCCACTTTGGCACAAAATTTAGCGCATATTGGTGGCAAAGAGCAGGCGCACAAATGCTCCGCGTTACCCACGCACTTCTCAGCACTTTCAGCCACCGCGCATGGCTGTACGTCGATGACCTTCTTGCACTGCTTTGCAAGCATAGCATGTCACAGCAAGTCACTCTCATCACATTCTTTCTCTCCGCAATCAACGCTCCTATGAGCTGGCGCAAGGCACAGCTCGGGCACGTGGTAACGTGGTGTGGCTGGACGCTGCGCACCGACTTGGAGGCATCGCACCTAGCCAGGCAAGCTTGCCAAACTGCAAGAGCAGCTCGAAAGCCTCGCGCGCTCCAAAAAGCTTCCACGCAAACACCTCGAAAGGGCCCTCGGTTTACTCATGTGGGCAACCAGCACTTGCACCCATTTAAGGCCATACATGGCCCCGCTGTACAGGGACCTCCACAGCGGCCGGGGCACCCTTCACCAAGTGCACGCCAGAAACACTCGCACCGCCCTACTCGACGCACTGTCTCCCCAGGCAACCATAGCCAGGCCATCGCTAGGCATGTGGCACAGTGGGAGCCCAGCCTTTGGAGGTGGGCTCTCAAAAAATCTCTTGCAAAGCAGATGTCGCCCGCATTCCTCCTTCACACGCACCCCAGTGGATACGCCTCGCCGACCCACCCAGGCAGGAAATACACCTCCACAATGAAAGCCGCTCCGCACTTCGCTGGCTCTCCTCCTGCTTCTCGCACGACCAGCTTCGCACAGTCAGGCAGGCGCCGCAACTGCACTGTCTGGCAGCCGCAGACGCAATGGTGGAGGGGTCCACAGTCGGCATTGGCGGGTGGATTAGCACTTCACAGTCTTTCGCATGGTTTTCAGAGCAGTGGGACATCATTGCTCAAAGCCTGCTTCACCGGATGCCTCGCGCACGCAGCGAATGACTCTGCGAGAGCGTGCATGAATTTCTTTGCTTGCGTCGACTTTGCTTTGCTCCTCTGCAGAGAGGCCTGGAACCCCGTCCATGTGGTCTGGAGTGCGTAGGGCTTTGGGGCCCGGCTTGCGCAGCTTGAGGCGCGTGTATTCTTTGCAAGGCAGCGCGGACCAGAGGACTCCTATGAGTCCGCTGAGTGCGATGCGGAGCACTATGCGATACTGGGTGTCATCCAGTACGTTGAAAGTCTGCCCTGGTGCGAGGTCAAAGGGTGCGAAGCAGTCTGCGTGCAGCGCCTGCATGGCTTTGGACAGAGGTGCGTGCGCTCCTGAGAATAGGTCAAAGAAAAGCCTGAGAGGGGTGCTTGAACGGTGCTTGCAACTGCGTGAGTGAGGATGCGAGCTTGAGCTGCTTGAGGTGCTGCTGCTGGATGGGCTGCTAGGCGAGGCGGCCGGCGCAGGGCTTGGCCCGGGCTCTGGCTGAGGCACGGTCGTCAGGAACCCTAGCGGTAGGCGGGTTAGGGTCTGGCCTACTAACCCCTAGTGTGTGCGTGGGCTTTGTCTGCGCTGCTGGCTGCAGTGCTTGCGGGACTGGCTTGGGTTCTAGCCGAAACACGGGGTTGTTGTTGGGAACCCTAGGCGGGTTAGGGTCTAGCCTACTCACCCCTAGTGCATGCGTGGGCTGTGTTTGTGCTGCTGGCTGCGGTGAGGGAGAAGGCACTGCCGAGGACTTGCCCTCACTCAAGGCCTCTGGAGTTTGTCAGGCGGCGGGCGCGGGTGCGGCAGGCTCTTGCTTATCTGGCCTGTCGGAGTTCTTGAAGCGATGCGAGGATGCGGGGTGACGTTGCCCGCATGCCTGCCCGTTGGGGAGGCGAACTGCGCAGAGATGCGCGAACTTGCAATTGCGATCATTGCACTCGGTACGGTTGTGAAACGCAAACAAAGGGTCTTGTTGCCATGCTTGAGTTGCAGGTTGCGCATGGCTTCTGTGAGCGCGGAGACCTTGTTGTCGTCTTTGAGCCTGGTTTGCACCTTGCCACCGCCTTTTTTGCCGTTGCCCTTGCCGCCTTTGCCTTTGCCTTTGCTGTCTCTGGAGACAGGTGGCTTCGCGCGAGGTTGCAGGAGAGCGCGCACGTCTGCGCGTACGCATGTCATTTCATGCAGTGCCTCGCCCAAGGACCACCCTTCAGAGTGCAAGCTTGCTATTTCGTTCCAGATTTTGCGGTCTGCTTGCAAAAGTTCATGCGTATTGACAGTGCCCAGGCCTGCGTCGGCTGTAAGGGTTTGAGTGCAGATATCCAGTATCTTTTTGTCAAATGCTTTGAGGGTGGCGAGGTGCGCCACGTTGCAGAGTGCGATGGCATTGCGAAAAATCTGCTGTGTGCGTGCAAGCCATGCGGGGCTGAGATGCGCGCGGTCGATGCTGACCTCTGGGGTCTCATCAAAGAGTGCGGAGCTGACCAGCTGCGCCACTGTGCGGAGCGTGAGTGTAGCGCGCGCCTCAATTATGTCCTGGTATTGCTTTTGCGACATGCGAAGTTGCCAGGGTATCCACTTGATTGCGCCTTTTGCGGTGAACCACTGGTGCACCAAGCTGAGAAGGCGGATGCTTGGCATTGCGTCTGCGTCCAGGTGTTCGCCTGGATAGTTGGAGCGAAATGCGGTTTGCATGCGTTGCACGGCCTCTGCATCTAGGCGAGGCGGCGCGTGCTCTGCCCAGACATTGCTTGCGGGTGCGTTGAGTGCTGGTGCATTTGGAGATGGCGACTGTTGCGAAGTGGGGCTGCATGCGTAATGCTTGCATCTGTCCAGGGCCCTGCGAAGCCTTGCAACTGCTGGGCTGTGCTCTGGGTCTGCGACTTGCATGCCTTCCCAGAATTCTTGGGTCTGCTTGCCCACAAAGGAATTGAGATCCTCGCCGTCTTGATATGCGTATGCGAAGTCTGCAATCCTCGCCGTCTTGATATGCGTATGCGAAGTCTGCAATGCTTGCGATGCCTGTGTGGAGGTCAGAACTTGTTGCAATGCCTGCGGAACCTGCATGGAAGTAAGTAAGGAGATGAGCCCGTCTTGGGAATCGACATCTAGGGGGCCGTCCATGGCTTAAAATCAAAAACTGGGGGTTTCTAAGTTTGAGCTGACAAAAACTGCAGTGCGACCTGGTACAAGCCACTGGCGAAAACTGTCGCAGAGCGGGATGGAGGAGTCGATTCTCCGCTTCAACAGTGAAGGGCAGGGACCTCACGAGTGTGGTGATTTGGCAGACCGTCAGGTTGTGACCGTTCAGGACTGTGCAGCAGGAGTGCCTTGCATTGCCCCATCGCCCCAGCTTCCCTCACAGGGTGTGCAGCATGAACATCATGAGGGCAGTATGTTTGCAGACAGTCAGGTTTCGACCTCTCAGGATGTTGCAGCAGGAGTGCCTTGCATTGCCAAAACGCCCCCGGTTCCTCTGCGAAGCATGCAGCATGAACGTCTTGACTGCAGTGTTTGCGCAGACAGTCAGGTTGCGCCCTTTCAGGATCTTGCAGCAGGAGTGCCGTCCATTGCCGTGACACCCCAGGTATCTCCACAGGATACGCAGCACGATCTTTCGAGGTGCACTGCGTTTGGTGACAGTTGTGTTCAGTGCACTTGTCATTTCGACCTTGAGCATGAGGACTGGCAATATTGGCCTTGGTCAGGTCCAGCCTTCACTGCTTTGGGTCTTGAACAGTGCGCCTTTCAGGAGCTTGGCTCGGGTCACCTTGTCAACTACTTCGACTTGGAGCATGACGATTGGCAACGTCTGTCTGTTGCAGTGAGCCACAGGTCCAGCGCGCAGGTGCAACGTCAAGGTGCCCCAATCCAGGACCCATAGGGTTTAGACCTCCCGTCCCGTGTGGCATTCGTTTGAGCGGTGAGGGCCCTCCCCTGTTCCCTCTAGGGTTTAGACCTCACTGCCTGTGCATCCCAGCTCGGGTGTGCCAGTTGGCGCTACTGTAGACCCTGCTAAATATGCCTTGGGCCACCCATATAGGGCAGGGTACACAGTGTTTTCGGAGGCCCAGGCCAGCTTGCAGGTGCTACATCAAGGTGCCCCGATCCTGTGCCTCTAGGGTTTAGACCTCCCGTCCCGTGCGAGCTCATGGAACTGAGTGCTGCGGGTCTCAGGGGCGCCGCAGTTTCCCCCCCTTAGGGTTTAGGATCCCTAACCCGTGCGTTTGTGAGCAAGGTGCCCAGGTTGGGGTAGGTGCCGCGCCTCTGTATGGCGCCCCTCCCCCTTTGTGCTCTGAGGAGCTCAGGCCTGAGCCAGAGCGCTGAAGTTGTCCTTCATGCATTGAGCAGCCAACTTTGTGCGTGCCACTGCCACGACCACTTTCCCGTTCATTGTCACTCTACCCGGGACGGGGACGCTGCTGGTGGTAAGGAGTGGCCTTACAGCCCCGACAGATCCACTGCATTGCGCCCTTGCCCTTGCAACGTTAAATTTCGATGTGATTTCAGCCACATGCAACATTGCCACCTTGGTCTTGAGGCGTGTGGTCGAGAGCGGCGTGGCTGCCCCGAGACATCCACTGCCTTGGACCATCACCCCACTCGTGGACCTTCGAGCCTGTCCGAAACGACCGCTCCGGACACTGGTGTCCCTCTCCGATTTGGAGGAGCCAAGCATGCTGGAATGGCAAAGGCAAAGGGGCCAATGCTACCCCGCAAAAGAGCAGCGCGCAAGCAGAGCCATCTGCAGGCACCAGCAAAGGTGGCCATGGCAAAACAGGACGTGGTTCCCGTGTCGTCCTGCTTCAGGAGCCAGCTGCTGACTCCCAAATTGAAGGGTGGTTCAGGCAAAACCGGTCGCACCGACCGGGCGGCCAAGCGCCAGGAGCCCGAGCCTGCAGCCAATCCTGGTCGCAAGGACGCGGCCTCCGCTGGAGACCAGGATTGGCAACGTGTTGGCCGGAAGGGCAAGTCCAAGACTGAGGAGCCCTTCTCGTTGCGTTCCCAGGACTGGGATGCTCCCATCATGGAGCCAGCCAAAGTGGGCCGGCCCTTGATGCGTTGGCGTCCACTGCTGTTCTCAATTGTGTGGTCATGGCCGATCAGAAGCAGATCGAGACTGTGCAAACGATGCTCAGAGGCACCACGAAGGCGCATAAGGCCCTGCTCATCTATCTGCATCCTGAGGGCAAGACGCGCATTCCTGGCAAGGTTGGCAACCAGCTTGCATTCAGACAAGGTACCATAGCGCAGGTTCGCAAGTCCACCACTGAACAATGCCCGCAGCCTGTGGGTATGCCGCAAAAAGGGGTTGCCATTAAACCCATTAAGATGGCTGTTGTGTACTTCAAGGTTCCGAAGGTGCACTTGTCCGAGGAAGGTTGGAAGAAGTTCAGCTCACAGCCGGCGCGCGCCGCGGCGGCTTGGGCTGCCTCCCATCATGTTGCTTTAGCCGACAGCTGGGGATGGGTGGAAGAGAAGCCCAAAGAAAGCAAGTCTGGTGTGCAAATGTTGGGACTTGCGAGGCTTGCTGCTGCAGACATCACCTCGCTCATGGCCATGTCCGGCCAAGGTGGCATCTTTGTTGACGCTCCGCGTGATGTGATTAGGTCCTCGGTTGAATGGCTTGAGAAGCCAGATTCCGAGTCTCCTGCGGCGTTGTTGGAGCGTGCTCTTAGACTTGCTCCGGCTTTGGGTCTTGCCGTGCAAGGCGGGCGCATTGGCCTGCGCCAGTCCCGTGCTGAAAACCAGGCTGCGCAGAGAGTGTGGCAGATCCCGCGCGTGCCTTCTGACTGGAGCCCGGCTGAGGTCCGAACAGTCTTGGCCACGGGTTTTGATAAGGTCACTTTGATCAATTGGCGTCGCCAGGGCACCGAATACACCTACCGTTTTCGGGGCACGCGTAGGGATGGGGATCGTGATCTGGTCCCGTTAGTGGCCTCCTTGATTGATGCTGCTGGAACCGGCTTCAACCTTACTATGTGGGCTTCGGTTGCACCAACCAAGGTCGCTGTCACAACACGTCGCATGGTCAAGCAAGGGGCCATGACAAGTGTGGAATTCGGGGCCTCCGTCCTTCAGACTAAGCCGGTGCAGGTCTGAGGTGGATGAGCAGGGCAAGGAAATTTCCCCAGCCAAAAAGATTGCGGCTGAGCACAGGGAGATTCCCAAGCAATGTGAGTTGCACAAAATGCCGGCCGACGGGGCATGCTTTTTCCACGCAGTGGCGAAGGGGTTGCACTGGCTTTCCGGGCCGAAAAAGGCCGAGTACTGCCATAGGCAGCTTCGTGCTCGTGTCGCGGCGCACCTCAAGAAGTATGCGTCAGAATACATACAGGAGTGGGACGGTCTCGGCCCGTCACTTGAGAAGATGCGCGAGGAGGCTGCCGCCCCGCAGGAGGCGTTTGAGAGGTACCTGGCAGCCATCGCTGGCGAGTCTGCCTATGCCAGCGAGCTCGAGGCCCGGGCGATCTCCCGAATTTTCAACTGTTGTCTTTGTGTGATCCCACAGGATGGCCGTTTTGCACCCATGCTGTTCCGGGAGAGTCAGCGTTCACGCAGCATCGTCCTTTGGTACACTTCCAAACACATTGACTTGTTGTTGCCGTCCGGAGATGCCACAGCATATCATGATGACCTCTTTCTGCCTTCGCCAGGTTTTGTTGAAGCTACGAAGGCCAAGGGACGGGCCCGCGTTGTCAAGTGGTGTGCTGATGGCTTTGCCAAGTGCCGACTTTGCCCATGGTCTCGGCCTTGCACTGACCCTGCCAAGGCCAAGGAGCTCCTGCGTGGCCACTTCCGTACGCTTCACAAAGGACAGACGCCCTCCGGCCTTACGCCCATGAACTGCCAGTTGCCCTCACTTGTGTCTTGCCTTCAGGATGGGCCTGCATGGTGGAAGTGCCCACTGTGTTCAATGGGCATTCCGTACGAAGCCGGCGCCCGGGCCGGCGCGCCTCGTGTGGCTCGCGACCAAATGCTGCACAAGAGTTCGCGCCATCCGCGGGTCACGTGGGTTAAGTGGCGTAAAGCCATGTATGGGCAGCGAGCGGATAAGACGCGTCAAACCAAGTATCGCGCGCGCACGGCCTTTAATCTGCAGTGTAAGCCTCATCTCCTTGCGAGATTTGAGCCCTTCAGGTGGCCTCGGCCACGCGGGGATGACCAGCAGCAGGCTGTCAAGTTTGTCAAGGCCTGGGTTTGTCTTAAGTGCCACGCTCCGTTTGAGCAAGACAAGGGTGCGGAGGAGCATGTCCCGAGCAAGTGCCCCACCACTCTCTCTCCCAAGAGACTCCCTGGCTTGGTCAAGCGCTGCGTGTGCTTGCCACCCTCAGGACCAAGTTTGAGACTAGCAAGGCGGCTGGCACCTACCGCCAACAGGGCCTTGCTGCGTTTGAGCAAGCCGCCTCCATCCTTGCCCGGCCCACGTCGCCGTGTTTCTGAAGGTGGGAACGGTGAACGCCGCGCATGCAGGCATTTGCATCCATGAGAGGTTAGCTGCCTTCCTTCAGGTGTGCCACCTTGATGTGATTGTGTTGCCTGAAGCCGACATCCCGGAGTGCTCGGCTGTCCGTTTTTGTCATTCTTGCAAGGCCTTCGGTCGGCACGCTTGCGTGAGTCGACCGCTTCATGGGAAGTGCAGGGTGGCGGTTTTGAGTTCCATGCCTTTCAAACAAGTTCAGCTTGGCGTTGAGGAGGCTGCGGGCCGCTGTGCTGCTGTCTTGATTGACTGCATCAATTCTGCCGGGGCCGTGGAGCCCATTCTCTTTGTGGGCCTCTACCTTGAGGTTGGCAATGAGCCGGCGGCGGCGGGTCAGGCTGAACACGCCCTTCAGCAGGCCCTCCATACAGGCTTCAGGTTCGTTGTGATAGGTGACTGGAACTTGCTTCCTGAGCATCCTGTACTCCTTGAGTATTGCGCATCCGGCCTTGTGAGCTGTGCGGATGAGTGTCGCCCTGGCGAGCTGCTCCCTGCCACTGGTCCGGTGTATCAGGGCAGTCGCCGTCGCAGGATTGACTTTGCGGTCCAACATTGCCAGCTTCCGGCCCTTCAGGTTTGGCATCATATGAGTGTGACGCGACTCAGCCGCTTCTCCGCAGAGGTCCCCGCAGGCGTAGCTGCAAGGCTGACCTGTCCCGCAGCGAGGTTGAGCAGGCCTTCGAGTCTTGGGATGATTCTGCGTTTGAGCATGCCCTGGCCGTTGGTGACACTGATGCCGCGTGGCGCATGTTATCGGATGCGGCTGAGGCCATCTTGTGCGATCAGGACGAATCGGCCATTCCTAGATCATTGTGTTGGCAGCCTTCTGCACCCAAGCGTGCGTCCAAAGCCGGCAAAAGCCCTGTGCGATCCGCGGGCCTCAGGGCCCTTCTGCAGCTGCAAGCCCGTTTGCGTGTTGCCCTGGATCGTGGTTGGGATGGGGCAGTGCGGCGAAGGATTTGCCGATCCCTCAGGGGCGTGAGGCAGGTTGTGCTTGAGCTGCCGTACTTTCAGGAGGTTGACGAGGTCATGCTCCGGGTGGTTTCGGAGCTTGCGCAGGCATACACTAACCATGAGCGGGTGACTGCTAAAGCCCTTTGGAAGGAGAGGATGCGGAGCAGTGAGGGTGCTGTCCGCAACTTTGTCAAGCGGCGTGCTGAAGCCATTCTGGAATGGGAGTCCTCCTCTGAGCCCCAGCCGTTTCCCTCCTCGGGCCATCACCCTGCTTTGGAGGTGGAGAAGCACTCAAAGGATTGGCTTGCCAAGTGGACGGCCCGTCCCTGTGGTGACGTTGAGGTTGTGGAGTCCATCCTGCGGGAGATCCCTAGCCTTCCGCCTTGTTCCGTCGACTTTTGCTTTGAGGCTTCTGCGCTACGGGCGGCAGCAGCCACCATGCGGACTCGCGCCCCAGGTCCTGACTGCTGGTCAGCTGACCTTTTGCTTTACATGCCGCAGAGGTGGTGGCAATGTGCGGCCAAACTGCGGTCCGTTGTCATGGACACTCAAAGGATCCCTAAGATTTGGCTTGCAGGTAAAACTTGCTTGCTTCCCAAGCCGAATGGGAAGTCACGCCCGATCACCATCCTGCCAATCATGTGGCGCGCAGGTGCCAAACTCGTGAACGGCCAGTTGTTCCCTTGGTGCGCTGCGTGGAAGCAAGGGTTTGATGTTGGGGGTTCCCGCCTCGTCCGTCGAGGATGCTCTTCAACAACTCCAGTGGGAGATTTCGAATGGCTGCCGGGCCGCAGTTCAACAAGATGTGGCCGGCTACTTCGATTCTTTGGATCATGCTTTGACAGCCAAGGTCCTTCGCCATCTCGGCGCTCCGGAGTGCTTTGTGCGGCTTTTCACTGCAGCTTGTTCAGGTAGCATGCGCCTTTTCTCACTCAGCGGAGCACTTGGCTCGGATTGGGGCCGTCCTACCCGTGGTGTGCCCCAAGGTTGCCCTTTGAGTCCGTTGATTTCCGCCTCCGTGACACACGCCTGGGCCTGTTATGTCCTCGGTGCATCCGAGGAGATGCACAAACCCGTGTCCGGCTGCGGGTACGTTGATGACCGCACGTTGCTGCTTAGGGCCAGGGGTTCTTTTGAGCACCTTCGAGCTGCTGTGCGGAGGTCTGATGCCTTTGATCGGGCCTTCGGTCTTGAAGTTTCGCTTTCCAAATGTGCAGTTGTTGCCGCGGCTGACTCTGGCGAGGCTCGGCTCCTTGCCGCAGACCTAGGTTACAAGCATACCCAGGTACTGGAATCTTTGGGTATCTGTGCCCCCTTTCAGGACGGTTGGGGACTCCTCAGATTCTCCTTGCGGCGAGTCACCCTTCGCCTTCGCCTCCTCAAGTGCGTTGACCTCAGTGCTCCGCAGGCCTGCAAACTCTTCAGGTCCCTGATTCTGCCGTGCTTTACTTGGGCCGCTGCCTATGCCTCGCCGGAGGCTAGGGAGCTAACTGCTCTGCGCAATGAGCTCAGGTATGTGCTCCAGGCTTGCGCTGGCAGGGATGCGGCGGCCGTGCTGCTTTACGAGGTGGCTGGCTGGCAGCTTGAGCCCAACTTTAGTATGGACTGTGCTGTCCTGCGATCCTTTTGGCGGGCCACCGTCAGCCCTAAGTGCTGGACAGAGCTGCTGCCTATCCCTGAGCTGAGAGGGTATGTCCTTCGTGCCCTTCCCCGCTTGTCTGACACGTTGCAACACTTAGGCTGGTGGTTGTCGGCGGACTCCATGACGGTCCAAAAGCTGGATGAACTTGGCAATGTCCGGCAAGTGCATGTTGGCTTCGAGTCTTTTCGCGGCCTTGTGGCCTGGCTGCGCCAGCACTACAGACACTTGTATCTGCAGAAGGCTGGCAGGGTGTGGCATCCTGCAAGGCGGGATGAAGAGGACCTGGCTGTGGGGCTTCGTCTCCAGACTCCGACCACGGATGCTGTGTTTGAGTTTGCTGGGCACAAGCTTACTTTTGCTTCAGCAGCGGGTGATAGGTACCTTGCTTTGGCCGCCTTTGGGGCGGGCAACTCCAGCTGGCACCTTAAATGCTGGGGGTGAGTTTGGCGTGGCGCATCCTCGCCATGGGATGCTTCACAGGTGTTGCAGAATAGCCAACGACCTAGGTGGCAACGGGTTTACTTGGTCGTGGACTGCGATGCTGCCATCAGGGCTATTGAGGGCCGCTCTGGTTTCGATTATGCGTTCAAGTTGAGGGACGTCAGGGACCTTCGCCGCAAGCTGAGTGGGGATGGCACGGAGACCCGGTTTATCTGGACTCCGTCGCATGACAAAAAGCCCAACTGGCGGCCCGAGGCTGATCTCTGCCCGCTGCAGTTGCGTGCCCTCAATCGGGCTGCGGATGAGGCTGCCGGGGCTTGCATGCATCGGAGATGTAGTGGCTCGTTGCGCCAAGTCAGGGCTCGCCGGGTCAGAGAGGCCTCTCATTGGGAATGCAAGGCATTGCAAGCAGTGGCCGCCATCGGCCAAGCATACCACGCACACCTCATAACCCCTGGGACGCCGGCCTCGTGAGGCCATCCTCAGGGTTTTCAAGCTCTAGCGGGGGCCTCATGCTTTGCCGGGCTCCTGCGCTGTGCTCCTTTGCCAGTACCGCTGCCCTACCTTCCACTTTTTCATTGTCCGCCTAACTGTTATTTTGCTGCCATGTTTGCATCCGCCTTTGTGCGCCTTGCTTTATTGGCCGCTGCCGGTGCCATGCCACCGGTCTCACTACATTGGGGCCCTAGGGTTTTGGCCTCTAGGGTTTTGTCCTCTGCCTTCCTGCCTAGGGTTTAGACCTCCTCCTGCTTTCCCGTGTTGGAGCTAGGTCCATGGCTGTAGTGGTTGCCTCGAGCCTTGTTGGGCTCCTGCATTCTGCACCTGGAGTGGGTACCATTGCCTGCCCATGCCTTTCACAGTCTGCCTAATTCGTCGCCTCCTGATTGCGCCCGCCTTCGTACGCCCTGCTTTGCTGGTCCGCAGCTGGTCTTCTCCCTGCTGATGGGCCGTGTTTGGTTCTGCCGTTGGCTTCCACTGCGGTGCCCCTCAGGCTGTTGTGGCTGGTGCTGAGGTGGGCACCTCCATGACGCTTTGACCTCTGATCCGTGATCTTCCACATCGCTGTGCTTCTTTGTGGCCCATGTTCGGCGACTTCTACCACCGCTGCTGTGGGCTGCTGCTTCTGGCGGCGGCTGCTTCGGTGGCGTTCGTGAGAGGTCCCTTGAGATCCTATGCTGACGGGACTCGTCTGGTGCTCGGGGCAGCTGTGCGTTCTGCTATGCATTCCTGCTCTTGGACTACTGCTGTGGTGGTCCCCAGTGCCGCTGTGGATTTGTTGTGCTGCGCATGCCAATGAGTATCAGTACTAAGGAGGGTTTGCCTGTATTCTACTTCCTGTACTGTGCTTGGAACGGCTTGAGGGACGCTTCCTTGGCTTAGTTACACCTGCTGTCTTCATTGATCAAACCACTTGGTCTCTTGAGTGACGCGAGAGAGCCATGCTTGTTCTCTGGAGCCATGTGGGTTCAGGAACGTTGGAGTCGAGTGATCATCGTGATGTACGTTGATGATCGTTGCCGAATGTGCTGAGGCTGAAAAGCGAGTCCTAGACACAATAGGGC